AATGATCACCCTTTCTCAATGAACAAGACTGTTACAGACAGTCTTGTTGTTACATTACAGGCTCCTAGAACTCCTGAAGAATACTAATTTGAAGGAATTGTTATACATATATAAAGGACACTTGTTTAATATTTGCATCAATTTATGGATAACATATCTATTGTACAAAATTAGGTTTTCAGGTACCAGTCTCACTGACTAATCACAGTATCTCCTTTTTTCTCTAAGAGCTTATCCTGAATTCTGAGGAGTTGAGGTGCCTGTATGAATTTGAGGAAGAGTGTGTGGAAGACTACTTCAGAGAGAAAGATGATGAGCAGCAGTCCTCAAATGATGAAAGGATAAGGGTGACATCTGAAAGGTAACAAAATCTGTGAAGCATTTCAATCCTCCAGGTTAATTAATTGTCTAAAACTGGTAAGCAGTGTAAACTGGACTTAATCTTGAAACTGCTTCACCACACATTTGGGGGGCTTTATCAGTTGCAACAAATATAAAGGTTTAGATGATGGTTACATGGCAGTGAAATGTACTTGTTAAACAATTTTATTTCATGACAGGGTAGAAAACATGTCCATGCACCTGGAGGAGGTCAATGAGAGAGAGAACAATATGAAGGCTTCTTTGCAGACGGTGGATCTGAGGCTGGCCCAGCTGGAGGACATCTATTCTCGCATGATGATGGCCTTGGAGAAACTGGCAGGAATCGACCACAGTGAACTGAAGAGGATACACTCACGGACATCCTCTGTTAGTGGCCTGTCGTCACTCCTCCGGACTGGCAGCATTAACAGCAATGATGGATACAGCCTTTATTGCTACTATACGGATGACTGTCCAGCTACTGAGGAAAAGGACGGGGCCATGTCAAGCCAACTGACAGTGGCAAATGTGAAGAAGCCATCGAACACCACAACTCTCAATCCAAATGATTATGGGCTGAATTTGGAGGTGGATGTTCCTGTAGGAAGGATCCGTCCAAACTCATGTGGGAACACCTGGATCCCCCATTTTGAGAAAACACCTGAATCTATAGATCAGGGTGAAGAGGCCAAAGCAGCATGTGAAGCTCCAACATCTTTAGTCCAAAGGTCTAGGAGCACCAGCTTGTTCAGTTCAACTGCCAGAGAAACTTTAATGCAGAGAGCCAAAGAGAATAATTCTCTTCAAAAAGCGATTGTCAGATCCTCAACTATGCGGCGGTGGAGTGCTGGCTCTGAGTATAAATTGCAACCTAATCTTTTTGGCCAGCCACCTCCAGACATCCACATTATCAAACCCACTGAGACAAATGAAGCAAGTAAATCTGAGGGTCAGCTGAGACCAAGAGTTCCAAATATTCTCAGCACAGAGATGAGAACTCAAGAAGAAGAAGGCCAGATAGGAAGGAGTGATATTACACAAGAAGACAGAAAAGAGAATGGCTCAGAGGAAAGTCTAAATATGGAGGGTAATACAGAAGAAAGAGACAGAGACCCAACACAGACAGATGTAATATGGAGAAATGCAATTGAGGATGGAAGGATGAACTTGCATGAAGATATTCCTGACTCTTTTCATCTTCTGGTACCTGAAGAGAGAATGTTTCCACCAGGAAGATCCAAGAGCTGGAACACAAAATGTCGCAAAGCCTTGAGGGAAAGCGCAGACAAGCCCCGAGGCTCCAGTAGTGAGAGAAGCCTTTCATGTGGAAGTTCCCTTGAGAGGTCTGGAGAAAAAATTGGGAAAGTGTCAGGGAAGGAGGAGTGAAAGAAAAAAAGATAGATCTGAGGTCGGGAGATGAGACTGCTAATTAGGAGTAAAGATGATAAGAGTTTGTTCTTTGTGTAACACAATTTTAAATATAAATTCATCCATTCATCTTCACTATCCTGGTCAGAGTTATCCTGGGAAACTGGGTACAAGGTAGAAGTACACGCTGGATGAGATGGCATTTCAGAGCAGGGCATCAAGAACTTTTATATAACAATAAAACAGTTGCAGTGTCATATCCACTTCCTAGATAACAGATATTTGATGTTTTGTAGATAACCCTAAATGTGTGATTATGTGATTAATAACTTCCAATGTACATTTCTGTATATTGTATGTATTCTATATAATGTTATAACAGTTAGGCTTTATACAAGTAAAAATTAATACTCTTGCCTTACAGTTGGCTTAAATGTTATTTTAATATGTTGTTTGACAACCACAGATTTGATAAGACATGCATAATATTCAGTGTTATTAATATTTTATTGTTATAATGGAAAACTGTTCTTATTGTCCCTTTAAATTTAAAGTTATGGAATTACATGATTAATGTATATTTGTGCAAACTTTCATAACATTCAAAATTTTAATATGTATCTTCCTGAACATGATGTGGTGGACACAAGAGCTTTTGTACAGCTAATCTCAAAAAGCACGACAGCGCCCTCCAGTGTCTAGTAAGTATATTACAAGAACATAGTTTTAGTTGCAGGTTAGATAATGGAAAAAAACCCACACATGACCCATAATGCTATGCAATTTTACTTTGGTTATATGTGGTACAAAAAGTTTCACAATTAATAAAAATCACACTAGAAATTAGGGGTTACACTCTTTTTTTTTTTTTTTTAACAATTATTTGCCTACCAGATGAGCAGGCTGTTTAAGAAACATTTCCTTTCTGAACTGATAGATGGCAGTACATTGAACAATCACAAAAACCAATTCAAATCAATAAACTCAGAAGACAGCTGCAGAAATGCATGGCCTTTGATGACACTGATCACAATGGTCCCATCTGAACACCAAGGCTGGAATAATAATGCTACATTTGCTTGTATTTTATGGTAAGTGCTAAAGCAGAGTTGCTACTGCAGTTTCTGAGAGAGTAAAACACTGACTCATGTACAGGCTTTTCCAAGGCCTCAACTCTTGGGCTGGAAAGAGGAAACAAAAAAAACTTAGCAAGAACATTTTATTGCTGACTCGATCTGTCAGACTATTTTTGAAGCTTTCCTTCTTCTGAAACATTAGTGCAACTGAAACACTTCGATACTGTCTATTTGCACACACTCACCCTCAAATTTCAACTACATTAAGAGCATTGGCACCAGTGAAATAAATGCTACTTATGCCATGTAACTGGGTACAGAATACGTAGATATTGACACGAATTCACCCAAACACAAACAGACACACAACACACACAGCAACACATAACTGCCTATTTGATAATTGTATTTTCCTTCAAAGAGCTACTAGTAATAGATATCACAGGTTATGACGTGTGTAAACCAGAAGTACTTTGGGCTTTTAAAAAACAGCAATAAGAATAGGTGGTATTTTGTTAATATACATAGCAGCAAGAATGCCAACATGTAAAATTAATAGCACATTATACATACAACAATAAAAGCATGCATTAGTGGCCTTCCTATACATTCATATACAGATATTTTAAATCATTCCTCAAAAGTCAATATCAAACATGCAAACCTTTGCCAATCACACAAGATGTTTTTTAAGGCGAATTAGTTAACCAGAGATACATGTAAATAACGCTACCCTTCTTAGCATGCAGGACCAAAGTCCAGCACAGTTTGGCGTTTTCCCTGCTTTCACACGACTAAACCTGTTCATTAACTGATTCAAGTTCAATTAGGTGTCTTTCAACAGGAAAATCAGCAAACTGTGTTGGACTGTCAAACAGACAGGACCACAGCTGGGACCCCTGGCCTAACATGTGTGCTATATACGTCATGTCTCTGTTTTGATTGGCTGCTGCTTTACAGACACATGGACAGACTGTACATGTGTACTTTTACCCATCATGCTCTTCAGCTGTCATGTTCTATATTTGATTCTCCACACTGCAGGGGAGTGCAGGATCTCTGTCAGTGCTATACATGGTTATGTGCCTGTGAGACAAACCCAGAGACATTTTCCTATATATATATATATATAGGATATGTTCTAAGATATATATATATATATATATATATATATATATATATATATATATATATTCTAATTCCACCTCCTTTTAAATCTTTAAAGGTGCCCTTTAATTATACACAATTTGCTAGTCATACTATAGATTTTACAGATAATCATCTGCCCATAAACAATGTGTAATGACAGTATAACACTGTTATGCTTATAAAAGCTTTATAAAATATGAATAAAGGCTCTATAAAAGGAATAATTCAAGCTTTGATATTATAAAAAAAAAATTTACAGTCAAACCGAAACATGTGCCGTGATAATCACAAAAAGGCCAAAAGAAACAATAAGACATTTCACAAACTAGGTACTTCAAACCCCTCCAGTATCCTTTGTGCCAACTCGCCGGTTGGTCTGTATGAACAGGAGTCTCCCTGTTCATTAAGAACGTGAGTGCGCACCTCTCAGTAGAGGCTCACATGACCTTCCATACCAGCTGATTCTGCAGCTAGAGAGATCAAGTCCATAGTTGCATTCCAATCGCTAGAGTCCGTTATATGAGTGTGCACCTGAATATGCTGTGCTTCTTGGAACGCTTCTCTGTGATCTTAATTGGTGCCCCACCTTCTGAATTGCTGCCATCATTCTAGGAAAAGACATGAAGAGAAGGGATCGCTCAACAAGAATGGCAATGCTAATAATGTTCAGTAATGTACTGTAGGTTTATTCATGTGATGCTCAAAGTTACAGTTGTGTAGTTCATGGCATGGCTCACCATTTTCCTGTTGAGTCTGGCCATAATGTCTCTCGCTAGAGTGAAAAAGGCTTCTTCCACATTTATGCTAGTTTTTGCGCTGGTTTCTAAAAACTTGATTCCATAATCTATTGCCAACTAGAAGACAACATAAGGAAGAACACAATGTTCTAAGCATGGAAAGCATAGCACATATACAAAATAAGAGCATTTACATTCATGGCATTTGGCAGACACCATTATCCAGACAGACTTACATTTGTCTCATTTATACAACTGAGCAGTTGAGGGTTAAGGGCCTTGCTCAAGGGCCCAGCAATGGCAGCTTTGCAGTGCTGGGATTTGAACTCACAACCTATCAATCAGCAGTAACACATCCTAACCATTGAGCTACCACTGCCCCTTTTTAAAAATCTATTTGTGAAAAAAAGATTAAAGTACAAAAGAAAAGAGTAAACTGTGATCTTGTGATATTAATATTAAGGGAAAAAAAATGATCCAATATGTATTATTATCAGAGCCAAATTTCTGCCTGAAACACTGGATCACTATCAGATTAGAGTTGTGAAAATGTCAATTCACTGACAATTTATCATGTGAATCCAAGTAATTTTACATGCATAGATGGGGGCTATTTTTCACTTTTTAAGGGAAAGCAGTTGAAGGATTGCTGAAAATGAATTTTAACCCCAATTATGAAGGATTTTGTCTCTGGGAAACAAATGAAGGGAGTTTTATTGCCACATTGCAGCTGTGATGGCTTATTTTCACTTTTTAGTTAGTATTGAGTTTGCTAATGGCCTCAAGTAGTGAAATAGCCTTTTACTTAAAATGATAGTATGTGGTTTAAGACATAGCCTGTTCTTGTTTTGGCTGTGGTTTATGCTGATTGCTCATCATGGACCAATCACAGTGAATTATTCAAATTAATCTCTTGTTTAATGTAGATAGTCTCTAATTTTAAATGGCATATAAAATAGGGAGAGTTTCTTGAGGGGAACTGAAGAACTTGCACTAGGTACAGGGTCACATTTTCTCAGATTTTATGCAACTCCTTATGGTTTAAAAAAAAAACAAACAAAAAAAAAAACACCCAGATACAGACAAAAGCCAATTTTCACAACTTAGGCCCTTTAAAGCATGCAACCATTATGATATTTTGCGTAACTTAAAAACAGTTTACAGAGAGTCAACTTGGCTATTATTAGGATGTTAGTATCAGATCAGGATCATGTATCGGCCAGTAATCAGAGCTCTGATATTGGTATCATATCAAAAATGGAAAAAATGGAATCAGTGCATAATACCTAATCAATATAGCGGGTTATATCAGACACTCAATGTCCACATGTTTTCTATTCATTATGGCTTTAAAAAAAAAAGAAAAAAAAAAGAATAGAAAGTAATAATAACAAGCCTGAAATAATAAGCCTGAAAAGCTGTACCTTCTCTCCTCTCTCCTTAGACACCTGTCTCTTGTCGTTCATGTCACATTTATTTCCGAGGATCATCCGCTCTACATCTGACGATGCATGCTAGAGAGAGCAATAAACACAGAGCACAACTCATTCAACTCTGCAATTATGAAAATATTACAAGACAATAACGTGTCCTGTTCATAATTTGATTGTACAATATAAATATAAAATATAACATGAGAAGAATTAGTAACAGTATTTTAGCATTAATTAAGAATTGAAGTCACTAATTAAAAGAATATCAGAACAAAAATATATATGTAAATGTACCGAGTTTCATAATTTGTACACATCTTGTTGCTACCTCACTTTATAACATGGTGGCTCCCAAAACTCACCTCCTCAATGTTGCGAATCCAGTTCTTGATGTTTTCAAAGGACTTTTCACTAGTAATATCGTACACTAACATAATGCCCTGGCAGAGAGACAGAGACAAAAATAGGACAGATTTACACCTCGTATTCTCCTACAGGTATTTTAACCTGCAGTGATGAGAATGAAGACATGGGCTCACCATTGCTCCTCTGTAGTATGCCGTAGTGATGGTCCTAAATCTCTCCTGTCCTGCTGTGTCCCTATAAACAGAACATAGTGCATACATTTCAAATCAGCCCATCATGGACCAGACATACAGTAAAGGTCATCATTAACTCCTTTTCTTATGCATGTCCTGAATTGTCTGAGGTTGGTTTTGAGAGAGGCCCTCCCTTCCCAACCCTACCGTTTCCAATCTACACATCCTGTAAACAGAGCAGGCACACTTTTCACTGCACTATTGTGTGAGTATCCTTCACATTAGTCACGGAATGTCTGGGCCAGGCTTATAAGCACTGTGACCCCCAACAGGAAGAACAGCCTGTTTCCTGACATCGTTTCTCTGGCACTTAGAAATCTACTGGAGGGTGCTGACACCATTACGAAATTTTGGCTGATGATTAGTTGTCATACAGATACAGTAATTCGGATTAATGATTGAATTGTTTGTGTTGACCTTATGGTAGTTTTATGATATAAGTGTAACATGACAAGCTGCGTTTTTTGTCTTATTAACTTCAAGAGAGAGGAACAGAGAGGTTGGTGAGGGAAAGACTGTCTTTAGCTGTTCTAATGTAAGTGATAACAGGTACTAACTTATTCTGTAACTATGTAAATGTAACCACAAATATTATACGAACTATACTAACTACATTGTCATTTATTAATAAATGAAAAAAGGTTAGAAAATCATTGCGGGATAAGAGGAATAACATACTTTGGGCTGTGCTATTATAGGTTGATTTTCCTGTTACAGCATGGCCTCTCATATCTTTACTCCTTACATAACCACATGTCCTGAAGTTTTATCCCTCTTGTACAATTTTTATTAATTAAAGAATAACACATCATACTTAGTTTTTATTCAGTTATAGTTATGTTTAATGTTGTGGAACATCTGTGAGACAAGTTAGCTCCCCTTATCACCTACGTTATAGCAGCTATAAACAATCTTTTCCTCAGCTGCCTCTCGTTTTTCTCTTGATGACAAAAATGCAGCTTGTCAAAAAAAAGCACAAAGTCCTCTGTGATGAAGATGCTCCTGTGTTAACTGTACCACTGACTGTTACAAAGCTCACTTGACACTGGAGACTCCTTCTAAAAATACTAACTAAACTTCTCCTTACATAAAACTTCACCATATCAACAATTACGTACGTTTTTAATCCAGTTATGTGGAGTGTCTGCCATACTTTCCTGTGCAGGTTGTTATTATAGAAATGATTACATAGTAGAATAAGCCTTGCAGCTGGAACTACTGTCAAAGCTGCTGTTATAGAAAATTAATCAACACCTTATGACCAATCAGAATCTAGACTTCAACGCTGTGGTAGAAACAGACATGTGACTCCCAGGAACTACTTGGAAGTCTTCAAAGCCACTACCAATCATTGGTAATCATCGTCATTTCATCACAAAATGTGGTCAACAGCTGCTTACTTTTAGTTAAACAGGCCAGTTGACTGACATTGCAAATGGCCATCTTCTTTTACTCACCAGTGTTTATTCTTAAAATTCTTTAAGAAGTTTTACAGACATGATGCTGTGGAGGTTTTTCATCCAATGAGCTTGTTTTGCTCCAAAAAGCTCACTGTGTTCAAAAGTTTGTTTTCCTGATAAAAACCATTGTATGGAAGTGTGCATCAAGCTTCATCATTCTGAAGCTTGTGGTCAGCTCAGTGTACAAACGACATCAGAAGCGGTGTGGGCGGAGCTTATTGTACATGAAGACTAATATATTTTACATGAAGACAGTATTGTCTACAATAAGCTTATATGGACATACACTTGGATTGGGTGTATTGGACTGATTTGCAGACTACAATGTAACAAAATGTCTTCAAGATCCAGCTGAAAGTAAAATACACACAAAAAAACCCAGCTCATAAAACTTGTGAAAGCCTCAGTGCTTACCATATCTGGAGTTTGATTTTCTTTCCATTTAACTCTATAGTCCTGATTTTGAAGTCAATTCCTAAAAAGAGAATAAAAGAAACAATTACACTGTAATTGTAATTACACAGTAAACATCAAATGGAGTCTTCATGATTGGCATACAATACATTCTCTGTGTTCAAACTATGTTTGCTTTTATAGTCATACTGAAAAATTAATGTGTGACCTTAACAAAAATAAATGCAAAGCTCTCTGAAGATAAGCCAGACTGAAACTGACTGATGGACTCGTAAGGAAGCTTCATGGAATGTCTTATCTGAAGGATGAATATCAGCACCAATGCAATTTTGGCTCAGAGCAACTGAAGAGAATCTCCGTTTTCCACTTTGTCTACTTTTTTACTAGTTGAACAAAAATAACATACAAATATACAAACATATAAGCGCAGGTACTTTCTGTATATGAAACAGCTCACATTTCCAGCGTGGTAATAAGGCTGCTTTCCATAAACAGTTTAGTCAGGAGGCAGCGCCATTTCCTGAGGTGCAAGCATGTATTATAACATGCTTTGTAATGACTCATTTGAGGAGTGGGAAAGTCCAAACTTTTCAGATGCGAGTCTATGATCAAATCAGAGTCTCTAACTATGACGGTTTTCTTAACAAACACCTCATACAAACTTTCTGTTGTAGGAGAAGAGATGGTGGTTACCAGACCCTGTTTTAAACCACAGTTTCCTGAAAACATCAGACATGCAACCTCAACCCTAACTTAATCCCTTATAACTCTCTGCTAAATTGAGCTTTATCACAGGCAACAGACTTAATATAGCCCCCTGAACAAGTCACTCATATAACTGTCAGGAAAGTTCAATATACGAAGGGTAATTTGTGTATTCATTTCTTTTAAAATGACAAAAACTGGAATGAGAAGACAGTTGACTTAACATTGCAACAGCCAAAGATTGTTTTAGTTGATAGCATGAACAAACAGTCTGTTAAAAAAATGAGAAGTTGATTGAGAACAAAACTCTGACAAAAGAGACACCCAGAGGAAGTAGCTTGCTAGGTAAAGCTCTATCTGGCTTTCCTTTTACCGGAAAACAGTGAGCATGCAGATGAGTAGTTCTGTTTATTTATTACTCTGAAAGGTCTGAAGCGACTAAATGGATAAACTAGCTGAAAGAAATGCATCCAGGAGTTTGCTGGTTACATTTATGCATCTGCCTGCTGCAAAGACTTACTGCAAGATAAATAATTTCAGACATATACGAACACGAGTACGCTACGATCAGGTTTTGAATAACCTGAACAAGATAATCAAAGTATAAACAGACCAAGTGAGTCAGAGGAAGCACTGGTGGATATCTCCTGTGCTCTGGAGGGAGTTAGCAGGGAAGCCTGCAGTGTGGCCAAAGCTGGGGTCAACCACCTCCTGGCACATAGAATAGCTGCCCATCACGCCTCTGCCTACTGCATTGTCTGTACAATG